CAATGAGTTTTTGTTGAATTATGCTGGAGTGACAATCCTTGGGCAGATATGAATCTGCGCCGTTCCGCTTACGTAGACCCGACTTTCGTAGGACCTCTCGGCACTCTCGACAAGTGATGTCTGCCACATAAAAGCAAACCGTTGAAAATTGTTGAAATCGGACTAAAATTGAGGCCGCTTTTCATATAACGGTAAATTTCAGAAATGCTTGAAATTTCAATATTTCGAAATTTAAGGACGCTAATTTACTTAAAATGTATACACCCCGGCTTATCATGTAGCGGTAGCTTTCGGAAAGGAGGAAAACATATATTTAATACTTGCGCCGGGTATTTAATGTTCGGCTCCGCCCGAACTTAGACTTTCTTACTTGTTGTATTTAAGTTACTCCAAAATTCACTTTTTGATTTATGTGATGAATTTCATCGAATTACAACTCCCTACATTATTTTACAAAAAAAAAAATAAAAAAAAATATTAATCGCGACTTTTTCCGTTTCATTTACGATGTTGTTACGCCTTTTTGCATTTCAGTTGACGTTATCTATGTACATATATATATATGTATGCAAGTACACTGTTTACGCTTACTTATAAATAGGTATATACATAAATTTATGTTTGCACATTATTGCGTATTCCTTGAATTTACAAATGAATCAGTTGGATAAAAATAAATCTGCATCTGCAGTATTATGTATAACTTTTTTTCTTTGCTTTCTCCACTTCGACTCCTTCAACGCTACGCTCTATTAGCATTCACTTAATTACACAATTAATTTAATGAAATGATGCTTATGCACAGAGAAATATGTATTCATAATTAATTAACAATGGAGCTTCATTATTTCCAATACTAAGTCGTTGAGATAAAGAAAATATATATATACGTATGAGAAATTATGGAATTACAGATAATGAATGCAGTTGAATGAATATGCTAGTGAATGTATTTTCATGTATATGTACATACATATGTATGTATATACACTTAGTTTTACGATGCGGCTATGTAATGTCTTTAGTGTGCATTTTAATTAATTTGTCTACTTGTGAACGCTTCGCGAAATGAGTTTGGAGTAATAAATACTACCGAATTCCTATTTCACAGAGGAACGCAGTGATAGAATTACTTTTATATGATTTTATATTAAAAATCTGCCCTATTGACTTCGTGAATAAACTAAATCGGCGCAAATTCCTGTAGAAGTAGCCTGAAAAGAGCTTATTTATGTTTTACTTCTCCTACATATTTATAAACTATTAAGAATTGTACACGTAAAACCATAAAATAAATTTTTTTATCAGTCAATTACCAAAAAGAGATTATTGCCGCCATAAAGAAGTGATATACGCATGCCATTTTTTTATAGCACCTTAAAAACTATCAGCAGAAAAAAGTTGACACAGTTTGTATGTGTGTTGATTTTTAAAAATTTATTTAATCCCCCACTGATGAAATATTAAAAAATATTTTTTTTTTTCAGTTTAAAATATCTGAAGATGTAAAAAAGCTGCTATACCAACACAACTATGTATGTATGTATGTATTATGTGTGTGCATCGGAATTCCCATTAAAATTCCAGTTGGCTATTAAAAATAAGCACAGATGCTGCACATATTTTTTATTTTTTACTTTTATTTTACGAAATGCAAATGGATCACATCAAATTATAAGTAAACGATGAGGGCGACTCGCAAACACTTTGATCTGTCAAGATGTGCTCATGACGTATGACTCTGGAGCATGTTCATTCCAGGAAATGAAGGCAGACAAAAATGTTGCATATGTATGTGTGTAGTATGTATGTAAGTATGTACAGATTCCTATGCTGGAGTCGCATACGAGTTGCAGCGTCCGGACAGGCAAAAATATGCTGCAAATAAAATTTTTTTGAAAAGAAATAAACTGAAAATGTTTGAGAAATATTTTCACACCAATACATACATATTTGCAACTTGATTTAATTGAAAATCTTTCTGACGAATGAATGAAGTATTTGGGAATAAAGTGTTCAGTGATTTTCTCGATCAGCGCATCCATCCATAGAAGAGTTAGGGTGGTCTCCACTATTAGATATACTTTAGAGACTTACAATAGGTGGGGTCGTAGAGGCAAATATTTAGCCACCCTGTATAAACTCAAAGCGGGTTAATTTCGTCCAGTATTGAATGGTGCTTAAAATATGGTTTATATAGATGAGGTGTTATCGGAGCTTCGGTGCTGTTTGATGATATCACATGGCACTTGAAATTCTTCAAAAGTTTTTAAAAAGAAAATTATAATGCGAAGCTGAAGTCTTTATGATATATTTACACATTTTTGTTTAGCATTTTTTAAACATTTATAAATGTATTCGTATATGCACTAGCATGGCACAATTAAAGTTATGTTTTTACACCAATAAATACGTTCCAAAAGAGGCAATTGCATTTTGATACCCCCACACACGGTTGCCACTTTGGTACAATTGTTCCAAATATGGATCTTTTTTCTCCGTTTCGGCCTTTGGGCCTTTTTTGTTTGTTTTGGGCCTTTTTGGAGCAACGTCCGTTTGAATAAGCAGCACTCACAGTTTCAAACAAAATTTAGGAAAATTCGAAAAATATTCATCAAAAATTCAATTTTTTTATCTGAATCTCTGGAACATTTTTGGGTATGCAGTTTTATAGCCCATACTAATTTAGTCTAATAAATTGCAAGTTTCAGCCGCCCAAAAAATCGCGTTGATTTTTGAGAATTTTTGTTTGGAGGCTGCTTATGCGGTCTGTTTTTTTTTAACCGACTTCCAAAAAAGGAGGAGGTTATCAGTTCGTCGGAATATTATTATTATTTGTTTTTTTATGTATGTTACCGCATAACTTTGCACCACGTCAACCGATTTCAATAATTGCAACGGAAAGGTAGTGTCTCAGAGGTAGTCCCATACTAATTTGGTTTAGATCCGATCATTGGATCATGAAATATATAGATATATATATTTTTTCAAGTCGTTTTTTTTTGCTAAAAATTACTTTTTTATATAACAAGTGCAATTTACAAAAACTGGGGTTGATTTTTTGAAATTTTGTTGCTTACGGTCTCTCACATTTTATTTCATAAGAAATTCATGCTTGTATGAAAAAAAAGTACAAAAATCCGTCACAAAAAAAAAAATTCTCAAAAATTAAAGCGATTTTTTAGGCGTTTGAAACTTGCGCTTTATTAGACTAAAATTGCATACCCAAAAATGTTCTAAAGATTCCGATTAAAATATGAAATTTTGGCGAAAATTTGAATTTTCCTAAATTTTGTACAAAGTTTGAAACCGTGTATATGGTTTTTGTTAAAGCATGGACGGTATTTTTTATAAATAAATAACAGCAAAAAAATTGTTCGAAAAACACCACGAATATTCAAAAAAAAAAAAAAATAACAACACATGATCACTTGTTTAAGTTACTGTATATATTTTTGTGGGACGACCAAAAATGGTACATTTTATTTTATTTTGGGTCTCTTTACTTGTATATTATGGTACACAAAATTTTGATGAAGTGGCAACCGTGCCCTCACATGTGATGTTTATGAATGTTCTCTTGATGAATGATAAATTCACTTTACAACTCAAGTGTTGCTTTAATTTAAGAAAGCTCTCCAGTAGGGGACAAAGCGTTGAAAAAGCTTGCAGCGATATGTCTTTGGTGCTTGCTCCTTTTTCCGTATTCTGCACCTAATAATAATTAACGAGTACACAATAACCTTCATATTAGAGACACAACGTCACATCTACGGCGATTATTTTCTTTATTTGCGTTCCGTTTCTTAGAAAAGACACCTTTTTGTATGCCTTCGAATTGCTGTACAGGTGCCTATGGTCGCCTCTAGACAGGCAATGGTAAACCGCCGAGCACAATGCTGTCATATACTCAATAAACATTACGCCAGTTTTGAGTAGTGCGTTGGAGTTGAGAC